GTTAGAAGGTCCGGGTTAGAAGGTCCGGGTTAGAAGGTCCGGGTTAGAAGGTCCGGGTTAGAAGGTCCGGGTTAGAAGGTCCGGGTTAGAAGGTCGCAGCAGCAACAACAACGGCGACGGCGACGGATCGGCGTAGTCAGTTGGAGTTGAGATGGCGGCCGTCAAATGAGCGAGCAACGGGCACGGGTGTTGGTACCTGCCAAGACGGCAATGTATGGGGCCATAGTCATTGAACGACGAGACCAATATTGGAGTTCGCACATAGTGCATCTATGTTGTGTTAGCAAAGAGTGCTGGCCCTGAACCATTCAGATAGAGCTCTACAGAATATGGCGAGAGCCGAAGCACCATTACAACAAGTCACGACAAGTGGCAGACAGTGATAATGCACGAAGATGATATTAATTTTTCTCATTTGTCTATCCAGTGCAGTCCGGTCCAGTAGACCAGTCCCACAAGCCGATCACTATGAATCAAGATAATAACGCATAAATACACAGCAGGTATTCATGCAGGACTGAGATGAGGGGTTGCAGTGCCCAGGACCTAGGATCAAAAGACCATAATCAGTCCATCTTCCACAATGAGTTCACCATGATCCATTCCATTGTGGAAGATCCCAGTCCGTGTATATAAACAAAGCAGTAAAACCAACGCCTTTTTGATGCCGCTGCAAGAACCGTGAGCTCTTCATGAGCTCTTCATGAGCGGGCCAGAGCACCAAAGCCGTAGTAGCGCCGGGTTCCATGCAGATTTTGTAGAGGTATAAACGCAGAAGGAGGACCAAGCGTGACCTATCCGAGCATGTGGATAAGTAGACGCGATATATACTGTGCTAAAATCGACGTGTTGTCGATGAGTGGGCCTGATGGACCACGTCGTGGCTGTGTACGTGTATAAGACGACACTAGACTGGCACAGCGTGCTTTGCAGCTCCAACCCGGATTTCCTCCTTCATGTTCGCAAGAGCATTATGCATGCGAAGCAGCTCATTCCTCTGAGCGCTAGTCGGAGGTTCGGGGGAAGTGCTGAGCTCGTTGTGTAGCTTGAAGTATTTGCCGTAGTACTGCTCAAACTTCTTTGAGAGCTCGATGGTCTGACGGTACGACAAGGATAGGGGCGATGTTGGTGATGTGTCGGAAGGCGAATCGGAAGAGGTGGACAACGTGTGTGTCTGCTGCGAGGCGGTACTAAGCCTGGGTCGCTTGGTTGGGGAAGAGGTCGAAGAGTGGGCGTCCGAACCAACAGTAGCGATCTTACGTTTCGCAGAGCTGGAGGCAGAGCCCGAGGGCGTGTTGTTGTGGCTGCCAGACTTGAAGCCATTGACAGGCGTGCGAGAAGGGGCAGCATCAGCATGCAACTTGCGTTGTTTTGATATGGAGTGGTTGTGTATGTTGTTGTCGAGATCATTCGCGCGGCGCTTAAGTGAGCGGTCAGAGTTGGATGCAGAGACACTAGACTTCGCGGACAGTGCATTGTGTACTGGGTGGTCGTCTTCAAAGTCGGAAGCGTTGACTGGCGGCGAAACTGACAGCGGAGACGGGTTCTTTGGCCTGTTTGGAGCTCTGACAGGTGCACCAGTCGCTTTCTTGACAGGCCTAGGCTTGTTGGAGGTCTTCAGTACTCCTGGTAAGGGCTTCTCTTCCTCGAGATCTTCCTTGGGAACAACAGCTGCAGACTTGATGACTTTTTTCTTTCGGGTCACGGTGTCCTGAGATTCAGCCTTGCCTCGCTTGACCGGCTCTTTCCCAAGAGGCTTTTTCATTGCCTTCTTCTGCGTCTCTTCACCGGCTGATTTCTTCGTATCGATCTTCTTAGCGGTGGTTTCTTTCTTGTCAGCAGCAGGTTTCTTGTCAGCCGCGGGCTTCTTATCGGCCGTAAATCTCTTTGGGAGCTTTGGTGTAGAAGAGGATGCTTGTAGTTGAGTTGGAGCTTGTATGACGAGCTTGGAAAGAACCTTGCCTTTGCCGCGCTCTTCCTTGGGAAGGAGCTTTTGCCAAAGCTTGTCGTCCTTAGGAAGTCGCTGGCGGTCGAAGGCCCTTATAGCGTTATCAACTGCTGTTTGGCGTTCCTCGCCAGACTTATAAGGGAAGTCAAACACATCAAGCTCCTTGTAGCTCTTCAAGGTCAACTCGTACATTGAGTTCTGCAGGGTTGCCACTTTATCGAGTACCTGCTTCGCTTCCTCAGCTTTACACCTCAGTAGCGTTGTGATTTCATTCGCAGTGCGCGACTTCACAGCAAGAAGGTGGAGAATAGGCTTGCGAATTGCCTTGAGTTTCGCGGCGTTATCTTGAGCAGGTGCAGAGGTCGGTGCCACTCGAGGGGAGGCACTGAAACCTGGACTCGAAGGTTGAGAGCGTCCAGAGGTATTCAGATGTTGCGTTGATTTTAGCAAAGCCCTTTGCGAGAGGTTACGATTATGTTTGGTTGCATGCAGTGGAGAGGAGTCAAATTGAGTTCTGCAGTTGAGGGTCAGTATAGTCTTCGCCAAAGGAATGACATGAACGCCGAGCTGCAATCGGCTTGACATACTTTAGAGCATCTTTCTGTTCTTGGATCGAAGCCATTCTGTTCTTCAAGCGTTCTGAAGCAACGTCGACCTTCTGCACCGCTTCTGCAGCTGCCTTCATGGACAGGGTGTGACTGATCAAGCCAGCAAAGGCAAGGTTCTCTTCGTTTTCGTCGGAGTAAAGTTCGTGTTGCATGCGTTCGGTAGAGGTCTGTAATATCTTCTGGGTCTTGCCGTAGCGAAGTGTCTATGTTGAATGTCAGCCAAGACCGGTGACAGAGACCGAGACCACCACGGCTGAACATGTCCATAGTATGGGAGGGAAAGCTTACAGGAATCTTGCCGAAGAGGATGTCTGGCTTGGAACCTTGTTCCACAGCTCTGAGAAGATCCTGGAGCTCTTCATCGCTGAGCTCGATCTGCATAACCTGAGTGGTATTGGTCTTCGTTTCTGGAGATCCTGTGGTAGCATCCGGTGCTCCACGCAAGAATAATTCGGAAGACGCCATTGCGTCTTAGTATATAGTAGAAGCAGTTTAGGAAGCTGAACAGGAAAGTAAGAGAAGAATCGAGAGTTTTGTTGCAGTAGCACAGGGGATTAGGAGGTCGAAGGGTGTTATGGTAGGCGGAGAGCGAGCATTGCGGAAGTTAATGGGAGATCGACAGTGTGACAATTGCGCGTTGCCAGCGGAGAATAGCCGGCTAGCGGATTGCTATTGTCATACGGCGAAGAGCAGAAAGGTGGGGTAAGTGAACAGAGAGCGGTGGCAGGTAGTGAGGCGAAGAGAAGATGATTGTGTTGAAAGGTGAAGTGAACTGGAGGGAAGCGAGAGGGTAACAGCGAGGATGGCCGGGTGGAGCGCACGGTAGTGCTAAGTGTACTATGTAGTGTACAATGGAATAGTGAGTGTCGCGGGCAAGGATGTGCAGTCGAGAGTCTAAGCAACCCACTAATAAACTACTGTCCGGGCGGCGAGTCTATGGAACCTCGCGCGAAGAGATGTCTGACGATAGCTGGCTGGGCATGACATGGCAGGGCAGGGCAGAAACAGGACAGGACAGGGCACTGATTACTTGCCGTACTAATAATTACTTGCTGCCAGCTGCCCATGCGGTGGTGGTGGTATTAGTGGTGTGTGGTGGTGGTGGTAGGATTAATTAGTGCTGGGGGGGTCCATTGTCTTTCGAGTTGGGGCTTAGGCGGGACCAGGGACGGTGAGACCCACCTTTCTGCCTCCCCCTCCACTTCCGCCAGCTCCCTCCAGCTTCCGGCTCAGTTACTTTGTTTGGTGAGAGTTGGATCATGTCTGCGCCTTACTAACTAACTGTTTGTCTTCACCGCAATCACGCTTTTGATCCGCTGAGGATGCTGCTTGTCATTGGCCTCAGCTATCACGGCGTACGGTCACTGCTCCAACAGGTACAGTCAGGTTGACTTCTTCAATCATGCCTCATTCGCGCTTGAATTTGCGCTGGCGCCGCTGCCACGACATTCGCCTTGTGGCACCTAGGCGTTCATGGGAATAATGCCTATACACACAGTAATACCGCTTAGGCACATGGATGTCCACCTACTTTCTGTCGCTACTGCACGCCTTTCATCACTGCCCATTTTCTTGGGAACAGCGAGGCGGTGCCGCGGTTCAATGTGAGTACCTATTCAGGACATATCGGGACCAGGTAACGTTCGCTGCGTTCACAGTGCCGATGCAGAGAGTCTGTAGAAGCTACTTAGCATGCATGTCCATGCTCTCTTTTTTGTTGTGCGTGTGGCTGCTGATTGATCACTGATTTATCGCATGCCTGTCTAACGAACACTCGTGATCAGCCGCCGCCTTTATTTGAGGGAAGGATACAGAATATCGAGCAGTAATTATCTAAATTACAGGAACAATCCGGAAGGGCACTCGCAATGCACACCAGCGTCTGCCAAGCTGCTTTGTTTCGAAAATACCCATGGACAATGAACGTGGATCACAAAGCGCGAGTACCGGTTGATCGAATCGACACACCTACGCCGGCCACTTTAGGAGCCTGCCTCTTCATTAAGGTCATACAGTCAAGCGTCATGCGGCATATACCTGGACAGGACATGAGGAGGGGCGAATTGCTTTGCACCCACGTTAGCCAAACTGATGCAACCTATCCATCCATCTCTGAACAAACGTCGGCGGGAAGCCCGGCCAGACCTGAATAGTCGTGACAAACCATGCCACGCTACAGCGAAAGTCTTGGCTTCTGGCGACATCCAGGTTCTCTTCCTTCCTAGACCCTGCTCAGCCGGGGGAATGCTCAGGTACAATAATCTCTATGCACTCATCAACGGCGCCTCGTCTTTTTGCAGGACACCAGCGCGCTTCTGTATTATCGACGTTCGAGCAGTCGCGGTATCCGACAAGAACCAGCTCGATGTCACTTTGCTCCGACGCATCTGACGGTAGGATTTAAATCGTACTGTTGGCATACCAAGACACTGGTCTCTGATTCGCCGCTGGTGACGTCGCAGAGCCCGTGTGCCAGCTTACTACACTACTGAAGGATAGTCGTGGCAATCAGCGCCGGTTTGTAACGTTGTAACACCTTTAGACCTCATGAATCTCATTCAGACTGGTCGTCTGCCTCAACACTTTACCTGAGGCGCCATATGATGGTTGGCGTACCAAGCGACTGGATGCATTGCTTCCATACTTTCATCCCACCTGATATCGAGAGAAGTAGTCCAGTCGCAGCGAGGAAGCCAGTGGTGGTGCGTCAGCCTAACCAACCATAAACGTGGAGTACCTGTTTCGGACCCTCGTGCAGGCTAGTTAGACGATCAGCCGTCGCATCATTAACAGGCCTTGATCAGCAGCGCAGATGTATTTTTTATGATGTCTAGTGCAAGCACGGCAGTCATGTCCATACCTACAGACAAGAGCTCCACAGGTGTGCGTGTGAGCCTTGTCTACACTGTAGCTATCTTTACGCAGGGAGGTGGAGGCCTCCACTGGCTACTGAGCGCCATGTAAGGACGCCCCTACTACTGCCAAAGCGGATGACGCCGAGCTACCCGCTGTAGTCAACAGCCACCACGGTGCGGGTGTCCTCTTTGTGTCTACTTAGGTCATCAGATGATCCGATGAGCAAGTCATTTGAACTATCATTCATATCGATCGCAGATGCATCGCCATAGAAACGTTTGCCCTCGCCATATTCGAGTAGAAGCATAGATAAGGGTCGTACTCAGTGACAGAGAGCGCAAGCAGGGGCATAGATGGGCCCACGAGGCAGCCGGGGGCTTAACCCTGAAGATGGAGCAATAATGGCAGCATGCAGCGAAGCTCCCGTTGCCCGGGCGGATCTGGCGACCCCTCGGGCGGTTCGATTCTGGCCCCGAGCTTTAATACCTGGTTTGGTCCCGGTCCACTCGCGAAAAATTACCCCTCGCCTCTTCTCTCCACGGAATAATAGTGCCTCCGTGGTATCTCCCATAGCAGCCTTTTATTATTACTTATATGCCTCAACATGTCCGAGTCGTTAAACCGCCAATCATAGTCATCAAGCTTTCAAAATGTTTATAGGGTATGGGACCCTACCGTGATACTATCTACGACGCAATTACGACACTAAAACCTAAGGTACGACGAAGCTGCCCCACCTCGCTATCGGCATTTGCCTTGGCACAGTGATAGAGGAGCCTGGAATCCTGAAGGGATAGCGAGACGTTCTACTGACTACTTCATAACCTTCCAGAATGGGTCGACACGACACGTAGGAATGAATCAAGTGACTCGACACTTATACACAGTACTACTACAACACCGTCTCGAGTTTGTATATATCCATGAAAGACATACTGGTCCTACTACCTACGATGCCTCAGCGGCAACATGTGTCTCGTCTTGGCGTGCCCTGCGTGGAAGCTCGCTAGAAGACACCACTATTTCGCTTGGATGCAGCAATCTTTCCCCAGCCGTGATTACGTGCATTTGTGCATTATCACTCTCCAGGGGCGAGTCTTCCGTGTCCGACTCCGAATGTGCAAGAGCCCACGCAGAAGTGTTACAAATCCTCGTCGCCACCATTCTGGACTCAGATGCACACATTGAGTAAGTGTGGTGTGTACCAGTCAAGTTTATAGCCTTACGCGCGACTTGAACCGCATTGGATTGCAGAGAGTGGCGCCCCGTTCAACTCAACTTCGCCAAAAACTACGAATACCTTCGTGTTCCGCCTTCGTGATTCCGTGGCTAGCAGCTGACCATCAAAGAGTAAATGTGGGCGTTCTCCGTCAGGACCGGCTCGCAGACCGCTGTCCCTGTGGCTTTTTGCGGGGTCACCTGTAGACCACCATCATTCTTGGTCGTATTAATCTGGATAATCACGCCCGAGCAAGGCCTGTCCCTGATAATCTGGAAAGCTGCCCGTGCAATATCATCATAATCAAGCGGCTGTACCTGCGTTCGCCGTCTCGCCGTCTATGCTCGCCGTCTCGCAGCCTGCGCTCGCCGTCTCGTTGCCAGTCGACGCTGCGTTTCGAGATTGCTATGCAGCCACGGTGGGGATAACAAGGATGACCTGACTAAAGCAGATTTAGGGTCCTGCAACAATGGAGCTCGTGATAGGCATATTGTACGCATCAGACTCCTCGGAGATCAGACCTGGCCGTCAAAATTGAACCAGGGCGAACGCTACTGCTATGTACGACCTGTTCTTTGACGGGTACTTTGGCCGCATTCGTCGAACGATCAACAGGTGTGCATCGTAGTGCCGCGTGAACTACCACTGCGAGGATGAAGCAATTCGTCTGCATTCATTCGTTGAACTCTTGAGAAATAGCATGACCGCATCAATACAGATTGCGTCTTCTGCTGAGGCTCTGGTCGTGATAGCTTTTGCGATGCTGACAATTGAATACTTTGACTCTCCAGTACAAAAGCACATAAAGAAAAGCAAGGCTTCTATCCTCCTATCCTCTAGCATCCGACCAGGACGGCCCTCCACGGGTATAAAACGATAGGCACAGCTCTGGAAGTGAAAATGCGTCCACATTGTATGACCATGCGCCGAACCCGTGCTCTAAAAGTGGATTTGTGCCACCATATGACTTGACAACGAGGACAGCTGCCGCGGACAGCGCCTTTACTTGCGCCAACGACCTGGTTATTGGAGCTATCCGGATGGGACGTTGTACAGCGCCATTGTTTCGCCATGAAAGGCGTGTACATTACTAAATTGTGGCCGCGTTCTGCCTAATATACTGGAGTGTGGCGGCCTGCTTCTACCGCATTTACTCATGTGTAATCGAATGCTAGAAAAGCCAAGATCGCTCATATTTGGCGTATCGGTCCGTGTGACTAGGTGAGTCGGCGTACGAGGTGTTTATCGGTTATTAGCACCAATACATTCAGAGCCTCGCGGAAGCATCACCACAATGGCGAGGATAAGTCGCAGCTTATAATGATGGTGCTGGCGTCCAATCAATGTATCCGCTTTATGCATTAATCTTATCAGGAAAATGTATAAAATGTATAACATAGCATCATTATCTAATGGGAAATGATGGTAATTACCTACAACATCTAGCAAGAACCTTTTCGAGACGAACTGAGAAGTACGCCTATCAGACTGAAACCTGCCCTAGTTGACGATCAAGTACCATGTTCACGTAACATCCTTATGGATAACATACAATCCTCGTGCTACTTTTATTTGGCTGCCACCTACACTCTAATACCTCATAGCTAACTCTCATCCACTACTATGTGCCTTCTCAGGCTACGCACCGCCGCCCTCAAAAGACCACGAAGACAAGCACATACCAGACAAGAAATACTACGAATGGCGCTCCTTCACATCTCAAGTCATCGGACCATAGACAACGGCTGACCTCCCCTTCTCCATCAATCCTGACAGACCAAGGTGTACACCTACAAGCAGGCTATACTCGTCAGATCGAACTGTAGTCTCAGCAGGGTACACCCGAACGAACTGGGCGCATCCGGTTAGCTTTGCAGTGCAGATTATGTGACTACAGGGAAGAATCTGGTGGACGAGCTCGTCCTGAGTCTTACGACTGTTACACACACGCATGGACGAGGATGCTGTTACTCTCGAATCCCCCGAGCCATTAAACGCAAGTGCTTGACACTATATGTGCAAGGCATGATGTAGAGATCGTGAGGCTGCATGTGAGGAGTAAGAGTAAGGAAACAACCTGTAGACGTGAACACGCAAAAATCATTATGGAAATATCTGCGAGCGAGCAGCTCTGGGTGTTTGAGAAAGTGCGAATGTATATGACGAATATATGGGTGCTGCGTGTTCTAGACGTACTGCATAGCGTGGCTACGCGGTCGCTATGGCGATATAGGAAAGCTTATTACAACGAGGATGCGACATATCACATTGTCGACTACAGATGTGAATACATCGAAGCCTAGTTGGTTTTTTGAAGAGAGAACTGGATATGAATGATATGTTGTTCACAAACCCGGTGATATATAATTGAGAGCATACGTGGTTGTCTTAGTATCTTAGGTGATATTCTCGTTTTTCAGAAAAGTCTTGATATTCTTATGCGTATGTATGATGATATCATGTGGAAGAGCAACAGACATATTACTTACCTCGTTCCAGCACTTAGCTACGGACTGATGATACTTACACAATTGAGCCTGAACAATGGCCATTGTTCCACAATAATCAATCAGATGTACGCGTGCATTCAATGCTATGCAGAACACAACGGGGCACAAATAGCTTCGAGATGTCCGAGCAGCTGCGAAGGACAAAGGGGTTCTGTCTGAAAGGCATACAGGGGTGGCTAGTCATGATTACACAGGGTATCCAAGTAGGCATTCATCATATCACTTTAATGCTTCTCCTCTCAATTAGGATCCTTCGATCATGATCTTCCCCTGTACCATACATTTTGCTCCACACACACATCACACGATCGCAACGATCGAACAGCCAAGCCCAGATATGGCCCACTGTACATTTTTCTCCGAGATACGCAACTGCATGCAGCTGCGGTCGATCTGCGAACGGGAGCGTCCTGCACGTATCCGTGCGGCATTCGCAATGTCCGCACGGGGTGTACATTCAGTGGTGCAAGGCGAATCGCTGTTTCGGATGCTGGACCTTGAAGCGTCGGTTGGACAATCAGGCGATTCATGTAACTCGAAGTTTGTTTCAGAGAACGCGTGAGAGTCGCGAATCGATTGGAGAACGCGATGGTCTATAATTAAGTCTGACTAGGTTAGCGCGGGACTATGGGGATGACAGGCTATAACGTGACGCGGCTGCACTTCGGGAAGCAGTTGCTCGGGAACGGTAGACTTGTCAACAGCACTAGTATCGACTAGGATAAACGTAAAGATGAAAGTATCGCGACACTTTCCTTTCACGCAACCAACATCTTACTTACTCTCACCCTCATCTCTCCTGTACACCTTCAGTCCCACTATTGTGCTCATATATCAACATCCGATTCTCTGTTTCACACTACCATCAACAGCTCGCTATATATAGATCTATCTCGGATCCCACTCCTATCACTTTGCGACTCACGCAGACGGGTCACACCTACCTTGACTCTCAGACTCTTCCACTGTTCTAGTCAAATCTCATCATGGACTCCTACGCCGAGAACCCTCCCTCCACCATGCCAGACGCCAAAGTCTCTCCTCCAACGCGCTCGTCTGGCAGCACACAGAACACCACCAAGCGGTAAGTGTCCTACTTGCGTCGATCTCCTCAGGGCATACAACTAATATGACCCAGCCTCCAAACCGAACTTATGAACCTCATGCTCTCGAACACGCCCGGCATCTCCGCCTTCCCGTCTGACGCCACCTCTCTCCTGCACTGGACAGCCACCATTGACGGCCCTGCCGACACGCCGTACGCCAATTTGACCTTTAAGCTCACGTTCGAGTTTCCCAGCTCGTACCCGCTGCAGGCGCCGACAGTACTGTTCAAAACACCGATCTATCACCCCAATATCGACTTCTCAGGGAGAATTTGCTTAGACATCCTTAAGGAGAAGTGGAGCGCGATCTACAATGTGCAGAGTGTATTGTTGAGCCTGCAGAGTCTGTTAGGGGAGCCTAATAAGTGAGTCCCCCTATTCTATGTTTCCATATCTCCTAACGGACCCGCAATGTGCGTTTCAAAGGAGACTCCGTACTGACTTATTACGAACAGTGCAAGTCCACTCAACGGCAAGGCTGCAGAGCTCTGGGACTCTGACCCGGAAGAGTTCCAGCGACAAGTGCTCGCTCGACACCGCGACTTGACTGACGAGGAGATGGAGATCTGAGGGCACTCAGCATTCGTATATACACAAGAGAAGACGAACAAGACACGAAACAACGCATACTCTTCCCAAGGAGGTGCATAGTAGCATGAACGGGAGGCATGATTCGGGCAAACATAGCGGCTTTTTGGTTGCTTACAGACATGGAGTCTATATCTTTCATCATCACCATCGCGTTAGCATTTCATGAACTTTTTTGCTTGCCCTACTCGACCCGTCTCGGCGTGCGTCGTCGTTTACAGTCTAGCATTGCATGGACAGGGTGCTTTGGGGGCGCTTGGGTTAGGCAGCAAATGTATTGGATTCTTCATATATCTATCGTGCTGCTTGCGTCTACCATTTTCGTAATGACTTAGCTGGCAACTCTTCGCTCCGTTCGGAGAGCTTGCTACTAAACCATTTGTTATTTCGAACAGTAGACAGATACCCGGTATACACTACTCAACATCACATTCGGACATCCGTCCGTCCCCATCAATAACACACGGTATCTAGAGCCAAGCGGGAAAAGCAGCACCACGGACGTACTCAGGAGACCATCACATCTCTCACATGACCTTTCCCCCTTAATAACAACACACAGTATATCTGAGCTCTACATAGAGTGCCATAGTCCTCAATCTCAAATAAACGGGCCATCTTTTGCATACCCACCCTCCCACCGGACCAGATCTCTTATGCAACTCGGTATCCCAAGTATCCGAAGATTCCTACATCCTGACCTCTTATCGCGTGGTTGGCTCATTCATTCGGATAAAATCTTGTCTGGAAAGTTGCTTGTCGTGGTTGGGTGTGTGGTTTATCGGATGATTTGATATGTATTGCGGCATGTATTGTGTTGATGGGAGGTAAGGAGGTGAGAGGGACTTTGAGTAGGCGTAGTAAGGATATGGTGGATTCATACAGCAGTTAAATGGCCCGGAGATCCTAGCGAAGGTTGTGAATGGGAGGAATTGTTTTCCCGGCTGTGGCTCTAGGGTGTAGGATTTGATCGATCGGATATGGGATATGGGATATGGGATATGGGATATGGGATATGGGATATGGGATATGGGATATGGGATATG